AAGTCTTTGTATGGAATGCTGTGGAATGTTGTTTTAAGTGTTTGTAAATGCTGTACGTAGCTGATCCAAGGTGACGGGCTGAGGTGTAAGGGCTCTGATCTGCCTTTTCATCATATCCCAAAGATGTTCGATGGGGTTCAGATCGGGACTCAAAGCCGGCCATGGATTGAGAACATTCACATTGTTGATGTTCAAAACGTTTGTGGTTAGGTGGGCACAGTGAGCTGGAGCATTGTCCTGTTGTGGAATATGGTGTTTCCATTGCGAGCCAACAACGGGAGGACGTGCGGGCTAATGATTTCATTAAGGTAGCGTCTGGCGGTGAGGTTCCCGTTGATGAAAACGAGGTATGTTCGGCCGGTGCTGGTTATCCCAACCCAGGCCATGACACCACGCCTATCTCCAACTGAACTCACACAACTGTTAGAGAAACGTTCATTAATCCTTCTGTAGACACGCTGCCTTCCATCATTGCTTTGCAGTTGGAAATGACACTCATCTGTGAACATCACATTATCCCACTGTCTCAAAATCCACCGTCGGTGCAGGCGGGCCCAGTTGAGTCTGACTCGGCGGTGCCTCGGGAGCTGGCAGATGCGTCGAGCGGGGCGTCTAGGAATGAGACCTTGAGCTCTGAGGCGTTGGCGCACCGTCGGGGCACTTATGGTTCTCCGTCCCGGCCACTCCCTGGCTGTCTTGGTAGCAGGCCGGAAGCGATCTCGTAGGTGCAAGATCCGAATGTACCGGTCATGGGCTGGTGTTGTAGCTCTAGGACGACCCGTCTGGGGACCATCCTGCACGGATCCAGACGTCTGCAAACGATTGTTTAGTCGATATATCGTGTCTCTTGTCACATTGAAGGTCCTTGCAACATTCGCTACTGGCGTATTGGCCCTCAGCATACCAACTGACTGATTGCGCTCTTCGTTCCTTAAACACGGCATGCTGTATCTTTAGATTTAGATGTTTTGAAATGAAACTTTTAACGTTTTATTCTTGGCTACAGATAAAAGATGTGTTAAACATATTTAAATAATATATTTAAAAAAACGTTCGAGAAAAATGAAAAAACACGGTTTTTAACAAAACAAGACCTGAGCTTTATTAACTAGGCACCTGATCATAAATGCAGGCTGATCAGGAGCGTTAAGTGTTCACAATCACGTGTGGAAAATTTCAGCTCAATGGGTTTTCAACTTTTCATGAAACACGCAATTAAAATGTGTCTGGTTTTATTGAGGCTAACTGTAGAAACTTTGATAAATTTTGGTATCACTTGCTATGGTAGCAATTTGGGAAGGCAACACTTTATAGAAATAAACAAGTTGATAAGAAAGGCATCAAGAACAATTGGCAGAGACCTGAGTAACTTTGAATATCTGCACAAGACAAACGTTCTAAAAAAGGCGGAAATAATGCTTAGTGACCATAGCCACCCACTGACATCAGAATTTCAACTATCGACTCGCAGTAAACGATACATTTCCAAAAAAGCAAGAACAGACAGATATAGAAATTCATTCGTACCAACTGCAGTGAGGTTACTGAACACACAGTGCTACAAATGAAACACACACACACACACACACACACACACACACACACACACACACACAGAGAGAGAGAGAGAGAGAGAGAGAGAGAGAGAGAGAGAGAGAGAGAGAGAATGTTTACGGAGCGGGTTGTCCCAGCACGTGAGACATATTATTGTATTTACCTGACCTTATGTCCTGTCTTGTGCGTTTGCGTGAGTGTACCTTTAAGTCTAACTTTTGTAACGTCTACTACCATTGTTAACGACCAAGGCAAATTTCTCCGTGCGAGATGAATAAAGATTGTCATTGTCATTGTCATTGTCATTGTCATTGTCATCATTCTACATGCAGGAATTTAATCACAAGACTTTTAGAGTTATATGGATACATACTCGAAAGAGCAGTACACACGGATGGTTATTTTGACAATAGCCTTATGCTGGATGGTAAAAAAAAAACTTCTTTCTTTATTTTTAAAGGTACATATCTGCTGCTGCATGATCTCACAATTTGCACAAAAAGAGGGAGTGAAAGGTCATTTATAATGTTTTAAAAAATATTTTTAAGAGGAGGAGGAGGAGGGGGAGGGGGGGGGGGCTACACCTGAAGGCTATCTCGCTTATTAGCGGGCAAAAATCTTACCATATTTCACACATATAACAAGCATAGTCAGGAGACTTAAAATCCGAAATCAAACTTGAGAAAAAAGTTTCGTTTTCATGGATACAGCGGCCATATTGGATTTGTTGACATGTCTTACGTAATGAATACCGTTCTTATCGTTCATGGAAATTGATTGTGTTGTTTTTTTTGTATGCAAGTTAACCAACATTAGGTCTAAATATTTATCTGCTGATTTTTTCCTAAACGAATTAGACATTTTTTCATTATTTTTTTTCCTGAGGTAGTATTCAAGTTAGCAAAAAATTTGTGAAAATCCACACTCCAGACACCACCAACAAAAATTAATTTCATATATAAACAATTCAACAGACAAATTTTTAGTGCTACATCTTGTCTTCATTCTGTGAAAATTTCATGAAGATTGGATAAGAAATGGTGGAGTTATTTAAAAAAGTATAGAGAAAACTCGCGTTTTTGAGCAAACGGCCGATGAAGAAAAATAAAATATTGACTTTATGAGGAAATGACGCTGACAAACATGCCCGGTAGGGGACGAAATAAGGATTTTGGGGGATAGTTGTAGGAGTGGCTGAGGAAGCTAAAAATGTCTAAACCTCAATTTCCATAATTTTGAGACTATTAAACATGATCTTAACCTCATTAACATTAACCACAACAATTTCCTTGCTATTGTCATAGTCTTCGTCTGTGTTGTTGCGAGATAACCGTCAGGTGAAGGCTCACCCCCCCCCCCCTCTCACCCTTAAAGCGTCTCCAACACCCCTCCCTTAAATCGCACACGCCATTTCCTCGAGAAACCCTGAACTTTGTTGATCTATCTATCTATCTATCTATCTATCTATCTATCTATCTATCTATCTATCTATCTATCTATCTATCTATCTATCTATCTATCTATCTGTCTATCTGTCTATCTATCTATCTATCTATCTATCTATCTATCTATCTATCTATCTATCTATCTATCTATCTATCTATCTATCTATCTATCTATCTATCTATCTATCTCAATTTTTATTGAGTATCTTCCTCTTAGTGCTGAAACGTTGCCCCCCTCCCCCAACCCTCCACCCCCACTCTAGCCCGGGTTGGACATGTCAGGCTGTGCAGAAGCGGCGCTTTCTAAATGATCAGGACTGTGTTGTTGAGATCGTAGAGTATATACCATTACATATTTATTGACCTTTCGAAAGTAACTATTACTTTGATCATTAAAATGTATGTTTTTGGTAAGGAGAAGAGGAAGACGTTCTCGTCAAAAGTTGAGAAAAGACAAGTAACTATTTCACAACTATTTTTAAAACATTGATTTAATTTAATTTTATTTCGTTTTATTGGTTTGGGGGGGGGGGGGTATTTTTTGTGCGCTTTCTCTTTTTGTTCAAGAGACTCACATGAAAAATAACCAAACACTGTTCATGCCTATATGAGACAGAGTTAGGATTGGACGAAATTTGGATTTGTTCTACTATTTTAAGCTTTGCTTCCCGTAATTCTCCCTCCACGAAATAAACACCAAACCAATCAAATATAACGGCAACACAGGCAGAGCAATAAAAAAAAACTGCACGGCCCAAAAGCTTAAAGATTATATGTGAGGCAGCGTGGTGGAATCAGGCTCTCGTCAAAATAATCAAAGTGAAGAAACTTACCTTTTCTTCGCACGTTTGTGAATTTTTATCCCATTTTTCTATTTTGGCTGAACACCTTTCATGTCCATTAAAGAACGCATATTTGTGTGGATTTTTCTGAAAAACGTTGATTAAAGGCACAAAAAAAGGTAAATTTTCAGTTACCACGGACTCTTAAGCTAAGGAAATAACTAATTTTTGGCAACCATTTTCTCACTTATTTTACCTCTGAAAACAGGTGACCCCCACCTCCTTCATTCGCAAATATCTCAACTTGTATTCAAGATAAATGGATATTTTATTCATCCAAATAAAGACAAGTGAACAAGCTTTAAGATGATATCAATAACTCTAAATGCCCAAAAATTGACGAGAGCCTGATTCCACCACGCTGCCTCACATATGAAACTGCTTGGCGCACAGACCTGGACGTTGACAAGGAAAGAAGAAAACAAAACGAATGCGTTTGCGATGTGGTGCTACTTAACTGTAGAATAGCCAGAATAAGTTAGAAAACAGAAAAGACAAACAAAGAGGTGTTTCAGATTCTACACACACAAGACAAACCTTGCTGCACAAAATAGAATGTCGAAAAATTCAATACTATGGCTACTTAAAACGTCACGAGACCATTACGGAAAAGGTGCCTGAAGGAAAGATGCGGGGTAGGAGAGGCAGAGGAAAGCAAACTATAACATGGATGGACAACATAAGAACATAGACTGGCCTGGATATGGCAGAATGTGCAACGGCAGCGCGCGACCGTGAAAGATGGAGGGTCATTACACGTCAACCTCGGAGTTAGAGATGACACCTCCAGGTATATCTAGGTAAACGAAGACCTTTACTCCTTTTGACTGAGGGTCAATATTATCACTGCGACATTCAGACTCTATAATTATGTGTAGAATGTTTGCTCAAAATAAATACAATTATGGTTGTAATAGACTGTAAGCCATAATGTTCGGTACTGCTAAACAAATCTATATAATTATACGACACAGATATTATAACAAGTAATACAATTTTGTTATACAATTTTGATAACATAATCGTCATGTTATTAAAAATGGCTGTCATAATGTAAGAGTGCAATGTAGGAACACAAAGAAAAAACGTTGATAAATGATCGGTTTTTTTTTTTGTTGGGGGGGGGGGGGGGGGGGTCGTTGATTACGTTCTGGTTCCCTTTGTACTGAGTGTATAAATCAAGGTCTGTGCCTGAAATAGGGGAGGAGCCTAGCGCTAAAGTAACTGTGGTGTCGATGTCCCACACGTCTCTCCCATCCAGAATGTCGATTTCACATTTGTGGGGAAACAACACAACTAACTCTCGCGACCAATATATTATGTATATGAGCTTGCCAATGACAACACCATCACCTTCTGGTTCATATCATGAAAATATCGTAAGCGACGAGCAGTTCCATATTATCAAAGTAGTTAACGTTGTGGTCATCTCTGGTGTCCTTAGTCTGTTCGGCGTGGCCTCCAACATCATCAACATTGTGGTGTTTGCCAAGCAAGGCTTTCAGGACAGCATGAACATCAGCCTCATGGGTGAGATAGCAATTATCACATCGACTGTTTCTAAAAAATAATAAAATCTTCGTTACTTCCAACGAATATGCCTGTCCATCAGTCCTGAAAGAGAAATATAATCTACATAATTGAGATGGAAATGATCAAATAAACAGATACTAACTGCTGACATATGGCGTCGGTGGCCTAGTGGTTAGGCTCTCGGACTCGCAACCGTAAGGTCGTGGGTTCGAATCCCGTCAGGGACCCGACGTTGTGTCCTTGGGAAAGGCACATTACACGAATTTTCCTCACTTCACCCAGGTGGAAATGGGTGCCCGGCTATAGACAGTGAACGATCTTGTCAGTTTGATAGTGTTTTAGCGCATGAAATCCGCAGCTTGCACTGTATGCCTCCGCGGAAGCCGAGAATGTTACTGAGTATTTTCAGAGGGTCTGCTGGGGTAATAATGGTTGTAAAGCGCTTAGAGCATGCTCTTGAGCATGGATATGCACTATATAAATGCAATTATTATTATTATTATTATTATTATTATTATTATTATTATTATTATTATTATTATTATTATTATTATTATTATTATTATTCAACAGTCCTGGAACAGAATACAACCCACTTAGAGGTAGATATAATAGATTAAGTACATTTATGATACTGCCTGACGTCAGCAAACTACTTCTGGTCTTTTCCCAGCAATGAAATCTTTTCCTTTCAAGAGAGAGAGAGAGAGAGAGAGAGAGAGAGAGAGAGAGAGAGAGAGAGAGAGAGAGAGAGAGAGAGCGCGAGAGAACATTGAGTTCTCGTCTTTTTCTCGACTTATAAAGTATTCATTACATGAGTTATGGTGGTAGATCATGATTTATTCTACAAGTGATATTGCTAAATTATAATCACGAGTTTCATCGAGTGATTACATCTGGCAATTTCACAAGAAGGGTAAATCATGGTCTACCGCTATAACAAGTGTAATGTGTGAGGCAGCGTGGTGGGATCAGGCTCTCGTCAAATATTTGGGCATGTAGAGTTATTGGTAGTATCATCTTAAAGCTTGTTCACCTGTCTTTATTTGGAGGAAAAAAATATCCATTTATCTTGAATACAAGTCGAGATATTTGCAAAAGAAGGAGGTGGGGGTCACTTGTTTTCAGAGGTAAAATTAGTAAGAAAATGGCCGCCAAAGATTAGTTATTTCCTTAGCTTAAGAGTCCGTGGTAACTGAAAATTAAAATTTTTGTGCCTTTAAGCAACGTTTTTCAGAAAAATTTCCTCAAAAATGAGTTTATTAATAGGCATGAAAGGTGTTGAGCCAAAAAACACAAATTTGATAAACATTCACAAACCTGCGGAAAATGCAAGTTTCTTCACTTTGATTATTTTGACGAGAGCCTGATTCCACCACGATGACTCACATATATACTCGAACTTTTGTTTGTTTGAACCACACTGAAGTCAACTGGCGAAATGCAGCCTTTTATGTGAGTCGGTGTCAGAGCTAGGGTTTTGAAGATCTGGTCTTATAATTTTGGCCAAACTTATACATAATATCACGATATCCGAAAGTCTCCATCTGTGAAATAAACACAAAGAAAACAACAACAATAAAGTAAACATAATCAAAGCAAGCAGAAAACGTAGAATCATAAGATGAAAGAATAAAACACTGCACTTTTATACCATGCATGGAGCTGTTTTAGTATCGCCCTTCATGAGCAATAAATCATTTATATTACAAACGTGAAATGTTGTAAGAAAATATCTCACGCTTGACATTAAAGAATATATCTCACGCTTAAAATTTTAAAAAACATGTTAGCTGTAATGAAAATTTCCATAAATTACTCCGCGGACAATGTTACCTTCTGGCTGGCCTTCTGTAAGGGAAGTATAAACTTATTTATAATTTTCCTACACCGTGCAATGGTACAGCAGCCGCTTTCTGACCTCTATAAAAACGTCGCTACGAAGCGCGCTTACAACAGGCGCCCAAATAAAATGCCAAACTCCAGTCTCCTAGTAGTTGAGAGAACACTCAACTTTCTATGTTGCTCTTAATTATTTTGTTCCAAACTGAGTCAAACGCACCCCTGCAGGTGGGGGGGCCCCATAGTTTTACTATGGAGGAGTAAAGAAAACACCTGCCATGATACTGTTCATGACTCCCTCCATCGTATTAATTCATTGGCAAAGCCTAAAATCACTTTCCAGGATTTGTTAACTCCATAACTGCTGTCTATTTGGGCAACCTAACTCTACCCCTTATTGTCTCTAGAAACAAATCTGTACTGTAAGATGTTCAGTGTGTTTGGCTTTGAGTACTCATGGTTGGGTGGATCCTTGTGTGTGGCTTTGAGTACTCATGGTTGGGTGGATCCTTGTGTTTGGCTTTGAGTACTCATGGTTGGGTGGATCCTTGTGTTTGGCTTTGAGTACTCATGGTTGGGTGGATCCTTGTGTTTGGCTTTAAGTACTCATGGTTGGGTGGATCCTTGTGTATGGCCCCCATTGAACATTATAAAAGAAGCGTTAAAATGTGTCGAGTCCAAAACAAGACATATAGAGCACTGGTTGTCGTGTCGGAACTCCAGAATTTTACAAACATTTTAAAACTTTGGAAGAGAAAACAAATGTTGTTTAAATGTTACAGGGAAAGAAAGATTCGATTTAAAAAAGAAAAGGAAGGGAAAAAAACCCAAACCAGTCTTTCCATGGCTCTCTTTACGGGGTCTTTTAAATTGGTGCTTTTTTGCGTTCATAGGTGGTTTTTATAAAAGACATTTCCGTTTTTGGAAACAGGATTTTTCTTTATGAATTTTATATCAAACAAATTCCTTTTGGATGAATCGTATCTGTTCCAAATTACAACATTCTAGTACAAATTGTGTGCGAGATATTCAGAAAAAAATGTTGCTTAGTAGTTATTTTTTTATCACCGTGTACAATGAAACATTCCTTAGAAATATAGAAGAATGTTCGAGTCTGAAAGTGAATGGCAACATTTTTAATAACTTTACGCACACACACACACACACACACACACACACACACACACACACACACATACACACACACATACACACATACGCACACACACAAACACACACACACACACATACACACACACACACACACACACACATACACACACATACGCACACACACAAACACACACATGTACATATATATATATATATATATATATATATATATATATATATATATATATATATATATATACATAATAAATTGTTTTGCTTTTTTTTCACCCGGAAACTGTTCATCATTTCAGGGCTTGCTGTTTCTGACCTGTTCTCCCTTCTGACCACGACATTGCAAAGCATCTGCGTGAACCCACTCTTCTACAACTCTGAGCTGCCCTTTGACCCCAGGGACATCTTGTACCTCACGGCATCCGTGCCTCATTACCTCTTTGTCAAAATCGCCACTTTTATCACCGCCTTCATCGCCTTTGAACGATGTCTGTGTATCGCTGTCCCTCTGAAGGTGAAGACGATCATCACACGGGGAAGGACAAAGACAATTATTATCTTCATCTACATTTCAATGTCCCTTTTGATTATCCCCTTCTGCCTTGGAAACAGACTTGAGTGGGTTTTCGATTTCAACAAGAATGCTACTGTGCTAAAAACCACGTTTACGGCCGAGAGAGAAATGCTAGAAGCCATTACGTTTCTCACCCAAGGCGTATTTGCTACGACGTTTTCTTTCGTCTTCGTCCTCTGCTGTACCATCGTTCTTATCGTCAAACTCAACAGTAAAACAAAATGGCGGCAGGCCACAGCAGCCAAGTCTGATCGTGCAGCGGGAGGAGTTGGGGTCAAAGATCAAAAGGTTGTAAAAATGGTGACCTTGATCGCTGTCATTTTCATTGCTTGCTCTTTACCTTCCACGCTCCTGTTTCTCTACATGGTGATTGACACAGATTTCAGAATTGATGGTTTCTATATAAATCTCTATCATGTCCTTTGGTCTTTAGCATTTCTAACAGAAACTACCAACTCCAGTGTGAATATATTTGTGTACCTGAAAATGAGTTCAAAATACCGAGCAGTGTTTATGAAAATATTTTTGAACAAGCAGGAAAAATAACTTTTTAGCCCCAGAAGAAAATGTTATCATTTTGACAATAAACAAAGAAATGGCAAAACTTTTAAGATTAGATGAGTTCATCTATACGCTTATTGTCCCCATACTGGAACATTGGTATTGTGAATTATCGCACACACAAACACACAGACGCACACACACACACACACACACATACACACACAAACACACAAACACACATAAACAAACAAATACACACTCACTCACACACACACACACACACACACACACACACACACACACACACACACACACACACACACACACACACACACACACACACACACATACACAGACACACAAACACACAAAGGAGGGGATGGTTAGTGTGTGTGTGTGCGTGTGTGTGTGTGTGTGTGTGTGTGTGTGTGTGTGTGTGTGTGGAAACGAAACTGAGTGTGAGTGTGTGTGTGTGTTTGTTGCTGAGAATAAAGAATATACAAAGGAATCCGAGGTTTTCTATTTTTAGATGGCACCCAAGAACAGACGGATTTATTCCCTTCCCAACACAGCTATTTCAGTCGGTATTCCTATCATTATGTGAGGCAGCGTGGTGGAATCAGGCTCTCGTCAAAAAAATCAAAGTGAAGAAACTTGCTTTTTTTCCGCAGGTTTGTGAATTTTTATTAATTTTTTGTTTTTTTTGGCTCAACATCTTTCAAGCCCATTAAAGTTAAAGAACTAATTTCTGTGTAGATGTTTCTGAAAAACGTTGATAGAAGGCACAAAAAATGTAAATTTTCTATTACCACGGACTCTTAAGCTAAGGAAATAACTAATCTTTGGCGGTCATTTTCTCACTAATTTTACCTCTGAAAACATGTGACCCCACCTCCTTCATTTGCAAATATCTCGAATTGTTTTCAAGATAAATGGATATTTTTTTCATCCAAAAAAAGACAAGTGAACAAGCTTTAAGATGATACCAATAACACTACATGCCCAAAAATTGACGAGAGCCTGATTCAACCACGCTGCCTCACATAATTTTTTAAAAATTGCCGGCCGACCTGACATCCGTAACTAAGTTACGATACCAGCATACAAAAAGATAAGATAAGATCAGATCAGATCATACTTTATTTTCCCAGGGGAAGTCTTTTTTGGCTGTACAGGACCGTAAAAACACAGTCATGCAGTTATACATTAAAAAAATTGAATAAATAATATATTACTCTCATTAAAATTCAATATGAAAAGAGAAGTAAAGCTGATAGAATGTAGATCTACATTCACATCAGATGCATCATTCAACCACAAGCAGGAATTTAAATTACCAGACTTTTAGAGTTATGTACAGATACATTCTGTAAAGAGCAACACACATCTATGCTTATTCTGACAAAAGCCTTATGCTAGATGGTAAACAACTTCTTTTATATCTTTCTTTCTTTGTTTTTGGAGGTACATGTCTGCCGCTGCGCGATCTTACAATTTGCTTGGAAAGGGGTGTGAAGGGTCGTTTATATTGCTTTTTATCTTTTTCTTTTTTATTTATATATGTGGTGTTATACATTTCATTATTCTAGTAAAATCATATTCAGAGATCTTGCTGGCTTTCTTAATGGCTCGGTCAAATTTTTCTTTATCTTTCACCTTACAATTCCCACCCAGCAGCAAATACAAAATAATAGCATACTTTCAATAATAGAATGGTATAAAAGGGACATAACCTTAATATCAACTCGGAAACTTTTAAATTTCCTTTAAAAGGAACATTCTTTGATTTTCTTTTTTATGTACAAGAGCAGCGTGGGGATGCCAGTCAAGTTTATTGTCGATTGTTACACCAAGATACTTGTAAGAGCTTACCACCTCCACCACCTGATCTTTAATAGTGGTTGCAATTGGTCTTTTTCTAAACTGTAAAGTCTATTATTAATTCCGTCGTCTTTTTTTACATTTAGTAAAAGAAAGTGGTTATCAGACCAATTTATTAATACATTTACAGCGTCCCTGTATTCATTCTCATTTGTTGTTACAATGCCTTGTAGAGTGGAATCATCCACACATTTTATTAGTTTGATGTTTTTGTTATCAAAAGTACAGTCGTTGGTGTTGACCGTAAACAAGACAGGGGAGATTACATAGCCTTGGGGCACACGGGTGTTCGTGAATATTAGGACGGATTTTACACCATTTTATTTTACATATTTAAGTCGATGGTTAAGAACTCAAGAATCCAAGCTATAATGTTCTTCATGTTCATGTTAATTAATTTTGAAACCATTATGTGGGGTTAGATTGTGTAGAATGCGGATGAAAAATCAGCAAAATGTATCCTGCAGTGATTTCTTGGTGTGTCTATGTGTTTGTAGATGTTATCTAAGAACACGAGAATGGCATCCCCTACCCCCCCCCCCCCCACCTCTTGGCACGATAGGCAAAATGCATGTTATCCTGTATGTCTTCTCTTGATTTCCTCAGTTCTTTCAGAACCAGTTTTTCATAAACATTAATTCATAAGGACTGATGTTAAAGCCACAGGTCTTGGGGCATTCAAATTTTTTATTGATTGTTTTTTTGGGACAGGGATTATTTCAGAGCATTTCCACTTGACTGGGTATTATTCGTATTTTCAAAGACATATTATTATTTAAAATATCAGTGTAAATGGGAGATAACTGAGAAGAGAGAACATATTTTAATCATTTTACTTTTTACTCCATCGGGTCCACTCGCTTGGTGAGCTTTCAGACGATTAAACATGATCCTGACCTCATTAACATTAACCACCACAATTTCCTTGCTTTTGTCATAGTTTTCGTCTGTGTTGTTGTTGTCGTCTGTGCGCTCATTTTGAATCGTCTCTTTGACAGTTGTCAGTTTGTCGGAGAAGTCGTGGTTGATAAAACGAGCACAAAAAGAATTCAAGTTGTTTACATACTGACTTGGGTTCGTGTCATGTGTTGGAATGTTTGTCTGTCTTGGTGCGTCTCCAACTATAGTTTTTTAAACATTGCCACGTCATTTTTGTGTTGTTAGAAATGAAATGTTGTTCTAATTTTTCTTTGTAAACATGCTTCCTTTTTTCTTTAACATATTATTTGTTGTTTTTAATTTGCCTCGGTTTTTCAGTTTGAATACCCTCTTCTTCTCATTTAATATTTCCTTTAACTCCTTGCTAACCCATGGCTTGTTATTTGGGTAGCAGACAACTTCTTTTTTTAGATGAATGTAGATCTTCACAAAAACCTGATGTAACCAGCGAAAGTTTCACATAATTCATCGATACTATTACATGAATCTTTAAAAACATTCCAATTCGTACATTCAAAGCAACCTCTCAGGCTTTCCTTGTTTTCTTCACTCCAGAGGGTGATCACTTTTTTAATTGGCTTTGAAGATTTTAATTTAGGTTTGTACTTCGGTAATAAGAGAGACATGTAATGATCAGAGTTTCCTATTGGAGGTAGAGGGATACATTTGTAAGCGTTAGAAACATTCACATAACATAGGTCAATATTTTTGTCCTCACAGGTTGGTACAGTAACATATTGATGGAAAGTGGGGAGAGTAGAAGTTAAAGAGCATTTGTTAAAATCCGCTGTGATTACTATTACACCGTCAGGACAAGAAAACTGTTGTTCATGAATCATTTCGACCAAAGTGTCCGTGGCAACTCTAACATTGTCTTGGGGTGGAATATAAACAATGTTGGTTGTTATCTTAGAAAATTCCCTCGGTAGATAGTACGGGCGAGTAACAACAGTAAGACTTTCAATATCAGGTGTACGCAGTTGGAGTTTAACATGAGTATTATTACGACTACACCACTTCTCGTTCACATACACATACACTCCTCCGCCTCGTTCTTTGTTAGAGTCAATCGTCCTGTTACAACGCACCAGATGGAATCCGTCAATGTCCACACTCTTGGTAGAAATACTGTCCTTGAACCACGTCTTGCTAAAACAAATACGCGAGGCCTCTCTATACTGGAGCATAAACCTAACATTTGCACAGAGTTCATACATTTTATTATTCAGTGACCTTGCATTACCAGTTAAGATTGTTGGTAAAAACGGTTGAAAAGTTCTTCTCCTCAGTCTGGAACGTACTCCTCCCTTCCTTCCCTGTTTACGTGGTCTCAATTCTCGGGGTAGAACGACGTTGAAAACACTGTTTCTGCTTGTCGGTCTTAGACGTTTTAACATGGCGGAACTGTAGGTCTGTCTCAATGGTCGAGCTTCACTCAAAACACTGCACTGGTGAATTTGCACTGACACACTAAAAACAATCAAAAACACAAGAAATATGGCAGAACTGAAAGAGTTAAGATCCATAGTGAGAAATAAGTTATCGCAAAGCCGTGTAAAAATCGAGTAAGCGTAAAAATTTATAAAAAGTACGGAGATCTGTAAGAGCCTCGTCGCCACTGAGCAGCGCCGGAACAAATATTGAACAGCACGACATGCTGAGTTGACATTTTAGAGGGACTGTCTCTACACGACCAATTTGAAGGTGGCGAATAAAAAACAACAACTTAAGTTACAACTACAATGTTAGAGAGCTGTAGTTATGACTGTCCTCAATACTCAAATACTTAAATGAAATTGAGACAAACTGGGCTTGTGACTTTTAAACTGGGCTTGTGACAAACTGAGCTTGTGACAAACTGGGCAGCCTCCGCTGGGTCCCGTCGACAGACTCGCAATTTTATGTTTCTCATAAAACAGCATCAGTTCTTGTAAAAGGAGGGAAATTCTGTGAAACAAACAAATTTAAATTCCACAGAAAAAGGAAGGTGCATTTTATCAGAGTATGCATTTTGTCTTGGAGAGGCAAGGGATGGTTTAGTGGAGAAGCGGAAAAAGTTGGCCTCTAGTTCTAGCAATGGTTGGTTCTCACATGCACACAGCTCACAGACAGCCAAGACAGGACAATGCCCTGACTGTGTGTCGCTTCACGGAAAAGGAAGTGCGCAACTTGACTGCCTATAATAAACTGGTTCTTGATAAGTTTGCAGCAAATCAATACAG